ATATATCTATCCTAGAAAATTCGGCAATCACGTGACCGTACACCGACCACCCGACTTTCCGTCCGTCCGCACCACAGGCATACCAATGTTTAATCTCACATTTTTTAGCTAGTTTGGGAGCCTGCAATCTGATATTGTACATCTATGTTTTGATTAATTGAAAGCTGTCAAAATAGTGTTTCTGCTGACCAGTATCGCCTGACCATATCGCGGGCTCAGGTATCGACCCACTGAGTTAGAATGTTTTTTTTGAAGGTATCCGCTGATAAGTTGATACTTTTCAAATGATCGCAGGCTCAAGTTCAATTTTTTTTAAATGCATATGAAATAAGTCGTGTTCGTGAGCAGCACTTTTAAAATGTTGATTTCGAACTGACCTCGGACGCGAAAATTCAACCAGCTTTTATATTTACATGCAGGGAAGGCAATCGCTTTTGACTTTTCTCACTGTCACGCGTTGATCACGCTCTACGTCCAATTCTTATGTTCTGATTGGTCAAAATTTGACAGGTGAGTTCATGCGGAAAATTTATGCAGCTTCTGGAAACTTGCTTACTGATAGCTGGAGCTGACAGAGTTTTGTCTGGGAGTTTTGTGTCATCTTGTGATGTTTTAAACTGTCGTTTTCTACTTGGTGTACAAAATGAAATACAGCTGCTATCAAGATTGTTCTGTATTTATGGCTGGTTTCTTTATTGCCCTTTTTGTTGACAAATGCACCGCTTGTCAAAGTCATTGGAAATCCGATTTCGGATGGCATCGTTTTCAAAACTGAGCTTACTCACTTGCCCTTGCTTGAGGTGTAAGAGGGTTGAAAAGTCTCAAGCGATTCTGGAACACTTGATGATCTTCAGAAGCAGCATCTCGACTGGTAACCCTGAGCACTTATTGTCTTTGATGTTTTGTTTTTTTTTCGGTTTCCTGAAGTCGAGCGTATGGTTTATGCGGCTGAAGTTTATACACGAGCAATGATCTAACCTACAATAGTATCAGGTTTAAAAAGCCTTTAGACATTTTTTGACCGCAAATTAAAAGAAGAGGTTCCGAAGATTATTTAGCTATAATTTTGGCTGTAAACAGAAAGCTCTGAGCGATTTTCTTGCCTCGAGTTCATCTTGAAAAAGAGCAAACACCGGGAGACGGCTTAAAACATAAATAAGCTTATGCTTACCTGACTCATGATTTTCAGAGACACATTACTCTCAATACTTCTCTTCGTGAATGAAAATTATTGTCTCTGTACATGTTTCACCGAATTATATTTATTTTATTGATTGTTAGTAGTCCCTCTCGCAATTTTTTATCGCTGCACTGGTTGTTTCCACTCGAACATAAACATCGCATGCAGGAATACTCAAAACGCCGCACGTAAACATCACTCGTTTTTAAAGATTACACATAACAAAACCATGACAGTTTAATAAATAAAGGGAAATAAAACCTAAACACAACAATTTCTCTATCATGTTGAAGCGTAAATGGTAACTATTAGTCGCACTGCAAATTTGGTGCCTGTCAAAAGTGAGAACCCGTCCGGCTGGCCGAAAAGTGATTTTGGGAATTTTTTTTATCGTTTTTATTAAGAGCCCGTAATTATTACCCTGCATATCACATAGGACCAGATTTTTCTAAGTGAAAAGTCCCGGCATTATCTGAGAATTCCTTTCATAAAAACGTTTTATAATTCAATGCTATAATTTGTTGTGCAAAGGAAGCGCGTGCTTTGATCGTCGTGTATATTGAACGAGTGCAAATTCTCTTGCAAAATTGTGAAAAACTGCAGAATTATAGGTTTAAATAGGGCAAAAAAGAACAAATTCTGTCTGAGGTCTGTATGATATAAAAAAAGGGCCTCAGAGTACTGTTTACCTGAGACGTGATGAGAAAAAGTATGTTTAAAAGGCTGGTTTACAGGCCACCAGATTCGTCGCCAAGATTTACTAGTAAACTAAACTTGTCGAACACAGAAAATCCGGCCTGCTTTTTTATTTTGGCCTCTCTTTTAGACAGAGGAATGCAACGTGTAAATTTGCTGCCACCAAGGACTATCGTGGCGCGTGTGTTTCTTAAAATTATATTTCGGGGTTGTCCAATTATCCATAGTCTCTCTAACGGAGCAATGTTGGAGAGACTGGTGAATGCCACATTATGATGCAACAGCTAATGCAAATACAATACACGAATAGGTCTATTTGTTTTCCAGGCCTAATATACTGTGATCGAACATGATTGCTATTTTTGGGTGTACAAATAGACTACTTAATAACTCGATGTAAAATTTGTTTCACGCTTGGACTGTCAAATTATTTTTTCTAAAATCACTTAGCCTTTGCCTCAAAAGTCAAATGAATATGCCCTGATCTGTGGATTACAAGTTTATTGTTTGATTTAGATTATGAATTTATTAACGGGAGCCTCGCTTTTAGCCCTGGCTAAATCTATATATTATTTGGTTATCCACTTACTTCCATCCTGGCAGGTTGTCAAATATCCGCTCCATTCCAAATTTCCCATACAAGTTCTCTCTCTGGAACCATGCAGTACAAACCCGTACTGGCAGGAAAATCGAACCGTACTTCCAACTTTAAAATCTCCAAATCGGTCACCATTATCAGGTCTCCCTGGATCAGGGCATTCTCTCTCTGCAATTATTATGCAAAGAAATAAAACAGATACCTATATAAGAACCGAAAATACTGTATGGAGATTCAAGTTAGGTTCAACATTAGAACCTGATTTGAATGGCGTTACTGAAAATGAAATGTTTTTTCAGTTATTCAAAGCCCTGCATTGAATTAGGTGCATACGACAAAATTAAACGATACTGTCAACAGTACTGTGCAAAAGTAATTAACGCGAAATTTGCCGAATTTCGTCCTTTGTTCTCGTGAAAATTCGACAAAAGTTCGCCACGAAATTTCGTTAAAGCGCCCACGAATTTCGCATCCACTGAAGGGAAATTTCGTTTTGCCGAATTTTCGTCGGAGCGAAATTTCACTGGCAAAATTACAACAGATCGAAAATTTGCATTAAGCAAATTTCGCTGGCAATGGAAGCATCAAGACGGACGGGATGTAATGAGACACTTTGTTCGGATCGTTGCTTGCTGTAATAGCTTAAAGCGAAGTCTTCAAATTGAAAGGTCAGTATGTTGGTGATCGTTAAACCTGCCCTGGTCAAAGAGGTGACAAAAAAAGGATAATGAATGTTAGAATCTAATATTTTAGATCCGTTGTGCTATTTCGGACTGTGACAAACGATGCACGACATAGCACACAAATAATCAAGGCTCGTAAGCATTATTTTTGTTTTCTTGTTCCCGCTTTCTTGAAGTTGAATAGTGATGGTAATTAATTAAAGGAACACAATGCAGTTACTGCGCATGTACCAAACTTTGATTTTCTGGAAAGAAGTCGCGGATTCAAAAGATGCGAAGAGTATTATAGAACTTTTATTCCCATTTCGCCTTTGAGATTACAATCGCGACAAGTTTCGATAGTAACCTATCGACTTATTTAGATGACACAGATTCTCTTTGCCGATAAGGATCCTTTGACAGCCTAGGAAACCATAAACTCTGACTTATCATACGTAGATAAATGTTTTTCGGAAAATGGCATGAAAAGAAACCAACCTAAATACCAGGCTATGGTGATGGGCTGTAGGAAAGCTAATCCGAAATTTCGCTGCGAAAATAACATCATTCCAAATAGCCATGCGCTACCGATGCTTACTGCAATTCGCTTCTTTTTTAGTTGCCTTTCCGTCTAATCACCAAATTACAACGCGTGCAAAACTCTCCTGTTTGACTTGTTTATAGAGCTCCCAGATACTGTCATATTACTCTTTTGCTCACTGAACTTCACTGGTTAAACATTAAAAACAGTATTGACTTCAAGATTATTGTTATTACGTACAAAGCTATTCATGGTGCAGCTCGGCGCTATATACCATCAGTAATCTTATTTCACTCAAATCGAATTCTAAATATGGACTGATATCCAATGACACCTGATTGTTGCTGCAGCCGGCATCTGTTAAGACATCGCCTGTCCTTGGCGACCGGGCCTTTCCGGCCGCCGCCGGCTCCAAAACTGTGGAACTCACTCGCTCAAGTTCTCCGGAAGGAGCATAGGTTTAGCACTTTAAAGAAAAAGCTTAAAACATATCTTTTCAAGAAAGCTTATTTTAACTAACCTGTAATTTCGATCACATTATCACTTGTTTTAACTGTATGGAACTTACTATGTAATTTTAGATTTTAGCCACTTGATTCATTTAGTCTATACGTACATGTGTGTGTATAAACATCATTGACTGTAATTTTATTTTTTTCAAATTTAATTTACACTGTTATAAAGTTTTCTTTTAGAAATTGAATGTAAAGCGCATTTGAAAACTTTGAGTTAGCGCTATAGAAGTGAATACAAAAGTAGGTTGAGTTTGATCGTCCGGGTGAACGTTAGTAGTATACTACCGAGTATACCAGCCATTGGTTAGTCTCGCGTCCTTTAAACCAGACCTGGTTAGTCTTAGCGCGTAAAGCGGGTACACTGAATAACTGCAGTGTTGGTAACAAAATCGGGTGCTGACCCCACCGGAAGTGACTCCCCAGTCCCCCGGAAGTGACTGCTCAGTCCACCGGAAGTGACCGTGCGACCGGAAGTGACCTCGCAACTAGTCCCAGTCCCCCGGAAGTCACTGCTCAGTCCACCGGAAGTCACTGCTCAGTCCACCGGAAGTGACCACGTGATCAGAAGTGACTCCCTAGCCCACCGGAAGTGACTCGCAAACTAGTCCCCAGACTCCCGGAAGTGACCGCGCAACCGGAAGTCAAGAAAAAACACAATGTATTCACAATAAAAAGCACTTTTTGATTTAATACAATCTGGAAAGGTACCTATTTACAATGCGGGACATGAGTGATGTCCTGGTGACTTCACACCCTTTAATGCAGTTCATAGATCTAATAAATGTTCGACTTCTGCTCTGATTCGTTGGTACCCGTAAGGAAAACTCGACTTGCTATTAACATCTACAACTCTCTTATCGAACACTAAGCCGTATTGTTTTACACGTGGTACAACTTTGATTCGTTTTCTTTCCGAGTCTCGTTGAAAGTAATATGGAGTTACCACACCGGTGGTTCGGCGATCATCCAGTGGGTTATTTAATTCAGCCAAAATATTGGCTTTCATGGAGTGAAAATTCAATACATTCGCGCCTCGAGCATTCAACGTAAATCCGCGGATTTTACACTCCGATTTCCCCTGCTGAGTGATATAGCCATAATTCTTGGGACCAGCACATACGAACTCCCTGATGACGTCACCGTCTAACTCGTCTTTCATATCACCCAACATATCCCCTGTTTGGATCATTGGCTGGTGGGGACGCCAACGGTAAATGATACTGTCTGTATCAAAATAAAGCACTTGCTCTACTTGCAGGGCATCAAGGTATTCATAAAGTTTTAGCCTGGCATTGCAGGTTGTAAATGCGGCAATGAAGATATTTGTTTTTGTGCCTTTCACTACGTTGTCTTCTACACTTGTGTGCACCACTTCCATCACGTCGTCTGTGCAGAGACGTATAGTGTTGATTTCAAGCGTCGTGTCTGTAATTAGCCTGAACAAATGGGCAGGGTCTTGAACGGTGACGGTGGTGGGTTTATTTGCTCGTTCACCGAACTTGCCCCAAAAACTGCAAGAAATAAAAAAGAAATAAGGATGAGTAGGGTGCAATGACAGTATGCAAAAAAAAAGAAAAATGAAAAAAGTACCTATTCAACATGAGCTTTGCCGTGGCCTTTCGTCCGGGATTTTTGGTAATGCTTGCAACGTCCAGGCGGATGCCTTCTCGTTCCTGGTAGCGAAGAATGTACTCTCGTTTCTGCTCGTGGGTTTGACACCAACTAGGCCAGCCCGAACTTTCCTGCTTGACTTTGAGCCAAGTATCGACGTAATTCTTGAATAGTCCTGTTCTACGTTGATGTTCTGGAAAATGCCAAACTTCATGTATTTTCACTAGGGTGTACCCCTTTTCTATGGCTTTTTGTAGCTCTGATGTGCACCAGGTTCCGCGTAAGAAGCGTTCAGCATCAGAATGTGGACAATAATGGCTGCGACTCAACAATGGTTTTTCCCGCTCTTCCTGAACGCAAGTTCGACATAGTGGAAATGTCAGTTTACCTCCCACGCGAACAGGTAACACTGGAAAGAAGAGATCGGTGGGTGCAAGAATGTCTACGTATGCTAGACCAAAGTAGGAGTGAATTGCCTGGTCCACTGGTTGCGTTATAATCTCTGGATGACCCACAGGATATGTGCTTGTCTTATTGATGTAGGGATATAGAGATGTTATATCGACATAGCGTATCTCCTCTCCTTCGCCAGCCACTGCGTGCAGGGTGACACCTTCTGTCCTTCCGCCAAAGAAGGCCTCGCGGGGATCGAGAGGTGGTACTAATTCCAACGATGCGAGAAACGATTGCACTTCTGCATCTGTGTCCACCAATTTTTGCCACTGACACTCCCACATTTCAACTATGGTATATCCTGCTCGGAGCAGAGCCATACGTTTGTTTAGAGTGGCTTGGTAAAGTTCCTCTACGGTTCTGTCTGGTGTGGTATAATGCTTGGCTTGCCTGTTAGGATAACAAGATACACAGCCGTGATACAGGCATCCATGGAACTCGTAGATGGTACGAGTTACGGGATCGTACCCATCAACGAAATAAGACGTGACAGCCGTTCGGACAGTCTGTTCGCCTCCATTTCTAACGTGTCGAATACGATCTGCACTGGCTCCCTGCTTGAGAATTTCCTTTTCTTTTAAATACAACCACTGTAGGGCTTTAACCGACTGGTTGGTATTGGCCCCCCGCCAGCCACGCAGGGGTTCTACCGCAATAATATTGGGTTGAAGATGTTCCTTCCTCCAGTAGAGGTTGCAGGCTGAAGCAATTGTTATACACTCAGCAAAGGGATTGAACCCTGCTTGTGACTCAAATTCCTGCTGGAATTTGATGCATCCGGCTTTTAACAAAGCCACGTCAGAACTACAATAGGCAATCATCTCTTGCTTGAAATTGAACGTAACATTACGAGCAACTTGCTCACTGTGCCAGAGCAATAGTTCCTCTTTCTTTATGGGCATCATCCCGTCAGGATCATAAAATTCAATGTCTGGGATCCTTCCCACATAGTTCTGGTGGTGGGGTAAATTGAAGAGATGTGGGAAGAATCCCTTCTTTAATTCTGTTAGATTAAAGGTTGACGAAAATGCTGCAAGCCGCATGGGTAGGAAGGACAAAGAGTCAATGAATTTTAGCGGACCACTCTTGAAGCTTAAAACTTTTGCACCAACCGTCAGTTGCTCTGTCACCTCACGCTGTTGCTGGTACAGTTCGTTAACAACGAAAACGCTATCAAAGCCTTTAAAATTGTGAAAGATTATGATAATCTCTCGCTCACTATCGCTGTCTGGGACATCAGCGAGTTCATCCAACTCTTGTAAAAATTGAAGAGAACAATCTTCGCCATGTAAGACATGAATTTCTTCTTCTTCGCTGGACGTATAACACAACAAATTCGGCACAAACACTCCTTCGTGGTCTTGCATCGCCTCATAATCGGCGTAAACAAACAGGGGAGGGGGTGGCGCCACCATGCAACCTCCCCCCTCCTCTGTTGGTTCCGCAGTCTCCTCCTCCTCTTCCTTTTCCTTAACTGGTTGAATATAGCACTTGTGCTCCTGGATGGACACCCATTCTTTACACACAGGGCATTTTGCAAAACCACACCTATGGCGTCGGTTTGGAACAACCTTGTACCGTGCCTGGCATTTTAGGCAAGTTTTCACTGATTGACATTGCTTGCTTTCTACGTGATGTTGTTTACAATTCGCACCGTAAAATTTGCAGTGACACAGGGTGCAGTTATTTGTGGGCCGTGTACCTCTGACATAATCTGCACAATCGAACCTGCTGCACGCGTTACAGCGTCTTCCTTCACAGATATGATTTTCTTTATCGTTGGTGTTAAATCCTCTCTGGCATTCAATGCAATAATACGAGCGATTGAGGAATGCCGGGAAGGATGTCAATCCGTCAAAATGATCGTTGGATTTGAGGAGGCGAATTTGATGGGGTGCGTCAGGTCCTTTGAAAATTAAATCGAAGGGTTTCATCCTCAACATCACCAATAACTGGTACGATGGACCAAGTGCTTGCTGAAATTTTGCAAGCTCTGGTAAACCGCATGCACCCTCAGCCACTCCTGCCTGCTGATGTAATGTTTGCGCTTGTTGTTGTTGCACTGGGTACCCTTTCTTTAAACTATCCCATAGGCGAAGAGCGTCCACACCATCTTCTTTGTGGCAGTGCGCGCGCATTGTCACAATCGCGCGAGCGCAACAGAGATTATCTTCGTTCTTTATCGATACAATACATCGTTTTTTCTTGTTCTCTCGGTCGAGACATATTCTCCCGGGATTGTTTTTTTTTTTATGCCCGGTTCCTGGGTCTGGCATACTTACAAAGACTACATCCACTTGGAAACCGCGATCAGGATTAAAGGCTTCATTACTGTTCAATTTCATAGCCAGGGTAGCTAACAATTCATCCAAACGAGCAGTGCGCTGCATAAATTCTCCCACAGTAAAATTAGCAGACTGGTAAGCATGAGTGAACCCATGTGCTGTAATTGAAAAATTGAGAAAATGATGGGCTGGTCGCTGCTCGCTGTTGAGTTCTGTTTCAATTGCTTGATGCAAGGCTTCTATTAGTGCTTTCCCAATATTATCCCCAGGACCAGCATCCCTCAATTGACGCATTTGCGCATGAAATTGTGCTCTCTCCACAATATTACGCCAGCGGCGTCGTCGGCCAATTGGACTCAAAATGAATTGAAATAGTGGCCCTCTCGCTGCGCCACCTCCTCCCATCTGCTGCCATCTATCGAACGCTCTGTTTAAGATTGAGTCTTCTTCCTCTTCTTCATTGCTGAAGTCATAGTACTGCTCCCATTGGTCATAAGCTTCGTTAATAATAGTGTCTTCCTGCTCATCTTCATCGCTAAAGCGATAGTAATCGTCTCTATTAGCCATCTTTTTGAATTTAAAGCAGGTTAAACTATATTTGAAAGCAGGTTTTGAAAAAAGTTTTGCAGTTCTACCTCCATCTTGAAAAAGTGATCAAAATGAGGGTGTGCACTCTGTTATATACCCCATTTCTGTGACGTCATTTTGACGTGGCTTTCTCTCATTGGCTACTCAAAACGAGGCTACTCTCTGAATGGTTCCTATCATTGACGTCATGATTGACACCTGTCAATCAAAAAGAAAGTGATTGTCACGTGATTGTCTTTTTGTTCTTCTATTTTTTTTCTCTTCTGTTTTTTTTTTTTTTTTTTTTTTTTTTTTTTT